AAGATGATGAAGGGACTGGAGCATCTCATGCATGAGGAAAGGCTGAGGGAGCTGGGCCTGTTTAGGCTGGAGAAGAGAAGATTGAGAGGTGATCTCAGAGTAGGGGGCCAGACTCTTCTCACTGCTGCCCAGCGACAGGACAAGAGGCAATAGGCACAAATTGAAACACAGGAAGCTCTATCTGAACATGAGGAAAAGCTTCTTTCCTGTGAGAGTGACAGAGCGCTGGCGCAGGTTGCCCGGAGAGGCTGTGGAGTCTCCTTTCCTGGAGGTATTCAAAACCCGTCTGGATGTGGTCCTGAGCAGTGTGCTCTGGATGACCCTGCTTGAGCAGGGGGGTTGGACTAGATGCTCTCCAGAGATCCCTTCCAACCGTGGCCATTCTGTGATTCCCCAGAGATCAAGAGCGTGCCGTATGTCTAATCGTGCTCTCTGACAAGCTGGGAAAGCTGAACGTTCTCGGCCAAGTGCAAACTGCTTTTTTTTTTCTCCAGATACATGAAGCATAAAAATGTCATACTTCCAATAAATGTCTTCAGTGTGAGTGGCTAAATAAGGTATTTGTGCTTTGGTCACTTACACTGTTGGTATTCAACCCCCTCTGCTTTATCAGATTTTGAGCTATGTTTGATAAATGAGCAGTATTACCTCAGACAATCCTGATTAGGTTTGTTGTGTAAATGGTGTGAGATTCAATTAGTCACTTTCCAGACATATCTTCCCTTGATTCCAGTAGGGAGCTTGACTGAGTAAAGCCGTCAGCCTTTTTTTAATATTAGTAGCTGGTGGTTGTATTGCTACCGTCAAAATAATTGAAGTTTTCAAGCTGCTCCAGTAATTCAAAAAGATATATATTTATAGAGTGATTCAGGTGCCGTGGCATAGATGTGCAGTGCCATTTTAGGTGTCCCTACATGTTTTTCCTGTCTTTCACTTCCTGCTTCAGCAGAGTGCAAGGTCTCTCATAAATTCTACATCCTGTCTGCCAATCCTATGCAAATGTTTTTTATGTCACATAGTAGCTTATAAAATACTAAGTGTCCCGGTTCAGGCACCTCAATGATTCCCTAATGTCTTGTCCTAAATAGTGTTCTTTAAAAATACAGTTTGCTTTAGAATTATTCACAGTAAAATAGCAGGGTTGAATGTGTCCATCACATTCCTTTTTCTCCATCAGGTTACAAAATGTTAATCAGAAAGTTTTCATCTTTGTAGTTACTGCTGGAAATGGAGTGATGTGGCATTTTATTTTTACTAACCTGCAGCCAAATATATGTGCTGTTCAGTGCTTCGCTAAGGCTTAATTCAAATGCACAGCAATTGAGAGAGAGAAAACTGAATGTAGAGTATATTCGTAGCTAGTAAGAGAGCACAGCTAGCTAAGTGTCTGTGGAAGCAGGTGAGAGTGAGGATGGCTACATCCTGTCTTTTTTCCTAAGTTTGCAAAGTAATGCTGAAGACTGTTCATAACTGAAATTTCTTTTTCTGTGTACAGCTGTGAAATGTAAATTTCCAGTTCTGTTCTGAGAAATCAGCTCAGTGTGGTGGGTGCATAAAATTAATAACATGTGCTTGTGGCTAGACTGGGATGACTTACAAGTATTCTTAACAATAGTTCCACTGTCTGCTAAAGTAAAATACTTTTTGTGCAAGAAAAGAATTCAGAATTCAGTTCTTGGGTAACATTGGCAAAAATTGAAGACTCTTATAATTTGTAAATTGCAGTGCTCAAAAGAAAGAGGTGAAAAATTCATTGGTAGGTTAACATAAAGTACTCGCTATCTATAGCTCAACTGGAAACATGACCTCTATTTAAATCGATGGATAGGATGATGTTATGGACCGTCTGAAAAGCAAGCTTAATATTCGTACAGCAGATAGATAATGCACGATTTTATAGAGAAATAGTAATACCCAGTAGATTTTTCAGTTCTAATTAGACCACGTAAATAGTGGTGTAAGGGAAGACTGGAAAATGTTTTCTTCTGTTACGTCATACTCAGATATGTGTTTTTTGAAACTTGAAATCTGCCACAGTAGAACAGAGACCTGATTCCATAATGCAGTGTACGTTCTCAGAGGTAAACAAATCAGGCTTGTTTCTCTCTATATACCCAAGTCAAGAGATTTTAAAAGCCATAGCTTTCTGTAATAAAAATGCATACAACGTTTTAAAAGGATTTTGGAATGATTTGATTACTTAATACATGTTTTGATATATTTTTCCTTTCTGCATATGTTGTTACTGGGGGAAATTTCAGGATCCAGAGATACAGCATTTGCTTATTGACAGTGAAAGCGGCACCGTGTCACTGAACTCTGGCACTGCAGTCACTGCAGAAGGTAGACATGGGACATCAGCTATCAGCTTCCTTGGGGCCTTGCGAATACCTGTAAGTACTTGTGCTGCTCTTGCCTGTTCCTCCAACAGTCCTATTTCTCATGCAGTTCCAAATGGAGTGGTAGGTGACCCTAGCGTTAAATCACAAGCTTTGATTGGCAGCTGTAGCGTAGGGATTAAAGCAGTATTTTGTTATATGAGACAAAGTGCCGCCTTCTGAGAGGGGGAGTGAAAATTGGCATAAGAGTACTCTCTTCTCCCCGTAGCAGATGGCATAAGGTCATTGGTAGCATCTTAAAAATTATAAACACCTAGACTCCAATACCTGTGCAAACTGATTATTTTAACCTGGTCTAGCTAATACGCACATGACCTATAGTGTAAAAGTTTACAGGTATTAATCTGATTTGAAAATATCCCTGCATATCACGTGAGGATTGAGAACGGAAGACTAGGCTGAGTCTATAAGCACTTGGGCTTCTCTTCTCTGCGTCAGAACTTCCTTCCGTAGCTTCCTTTTACACTCTTCAAAAATTGTTTAAGTTCTTTAGTTTTGAAATCGCTTGTATGGTTTCTATAGAGAAGGTGGACAACCCAAGTGTTCAGACTGCTGGAAAAGGAGAAGAAGGAAGTTCCCGTTAATATAGGGACAATCAGGCTGTGCTCTAAGACAGCATAAGTATAAGTGTACTCAAATTTATTTGGACCAGGTGTAAAGGTAGAGGAAGAAGTCTCCAGCACTCAACTGCTGTATTCCTGCATCCTCACATTTTGTCCCATCTCATCCTCAATCTCACCTGTTTTTCCTATGGCAAAGTAGAAGTCATGGGTATAAGAGTTGCTGCTGCCACCTTGAATGTCTGTAGCTCCTGCTCTGTTTTCCCTGCCTGGTGTTGGGAAGGGTAACAGCTGTATGTGAAATGGAGCCAGTGCATGTGTGTGTTGTCCCTGCAGATAACTGCAGTATACCAAGGATTTTAAAAGTCTGTCTCCAACCAGAAGATGTGAGATGGTAAGGGAAATGAAGACAGGTTAGTTTGGCAGTTTAGTTGCAGCTCTGTGCAATAGGCACAACTTTCCTATACCCAATAGGAAAGAGAACGGAACAAATTGGTATTTTAAGTCAGCATCTGCTATGTCAGTGGTGTGCTTTTGCCACGTGCTAATTTGAAGGCCTATGTCATACTGGTTAACTGGCTATTTGTAAAGGGTTAAACAACTAGGGAGAGATCTTAGAACTGTCTAAAGAGCACAAAAATATGCCTTTTTCTCTGGTATATACCCCAGTTCTGCTATACTGCTATATAAAAAGTCTTTACATGACAAAAATAAGTGTTGTAGGTGTCCCAAGCAGTATCACGTCCTTTCTGTTTATTTTCATGTTCTCTCTTTGGTCAGTTCAGTACAATTAAGAGGAGAAAAAGTGTATGAGTAGAGTACCACAATCTGCTCTGATTGTAGGCTTTGTGCTTTCAAGGGAAGAAAGCTTCTTGGGAATTATTGAGAGAAAAAGAAAAGCCTGAAATACTACTTAGAAACAGTTTTCCTAATGTGCTTTGATTAAAAACAAGCAGCAGCCTATATCAAGGTTCTAACTTCCTATTTCCTTTATTCTCTCAGGGAGTCATAGAGTTCTCCCTTTGTCTTCTGTTTGCAAAATTGGTGAGCTATACTTTCCTCTTCTGGCTTCCCCTCTATATCACAAATGTAGGTAAGTGTCACAGTAAGAGAAAACAGAATTATGCCTAAATAGTGACTGAAAATATGAGCTTGAAATAAATAAGAAAATAAACATTACTGCTTCTGAAATAGACTGCCTTTGCTACAGGAGCAGGTGAGTTGTAAGTCACTAACTGATATGTGTGAGTTTTACGGATTCGGTATTATGAGGGAGTGTTTTCAAAAAAAAAAAGGAAAAAAGAAAAAACCACACCTGGCTCATCTTCAGTGACTGCAAGCCGGAGTGGTGTGGCTTTGGCTCTTAAGAGCCAGTTAAGAAGGTTTACTTTCTAGTCATGTTTTTAAATGATCAAAGTGCCTTATCCAAAAGCATACCAAAAAGGTAAATAAGCTTCTCTATCTGTTCAGTACTGCTATGTTATTTTGTGCTGTAGAGTACAGAGAAAAGAATTTTCCCTAGCTAAAGAAGCTAACGTTCTTGTGAGTCATAATGTAGCCTTTAAACATCCAGCTACCTAAAAAGACTGTGCAGACAAGTGTAGCAGCCACAACCAGCAGAGAGAGACAGATTAAATGCTCCAGGAAGACACAGGCAGTTGTAAATGCTGTAGCTAAAGCCTGTTGTGTAGATTCCAAGTAACCAGCACTCCTGAAGGAGTGGGTACCTTGAAAGCAACTGACTTTTAATAGAAGTGTTAGTGATATTTAGCACAGTCCTTCCATGCGTGCTTTGGCTGATTCATTGCTGGTGAGGTTATGGTAGTATCACTGACACCACTGTTATAAAACATTCTGCTCTTTCAAATGTACTTCTGAGACTTTTAAAAAAAAATACCAAAAAAGTTTAGAAAATCAGCTCCTTTTGAAGCTTTGGACTAAATGTAAGTATATGCAAACACTGGTCCTCACTGCCCGTGGCAAGCAGTGGAGTTGAGGAAATCATGGTCCCTTCAGAGTCCCCATAAACTATGCAGTATATGCTATGCCAAGCAGACTGACCAGACATAATCTAATTATCAATATTACTGGTCATGTGATGAAAACCTCCAGAATGAGGCTCTGTAAGTAGTCCGAATGTATGCTAATCGTGATTTTAGGTCAGAGTCTCACTTACAAGCGTTTGTTACCTGTTCATGAATCCGTGGCTATTAATGTATCAGAACATTTTTCAGTCCAAGCTTTAATGCTCTATTTCTTGGACTGTATCAACAGTTACAGTGGTAAAATGACCTGCCGTGGAGTGTAATCATATCCAAAAGACTGTATCACTGAATAACTGGTTGCGATATAATCTTTTATGTCACATGTATCAATACATAAGAACACCTTATGATAGCTTATTCCTGTGAATAAGCAATACTACTGTAAGATAGTTTTACTGTGACATGACAAGATTGTACTGAGGTCTGTACTTTTTGTAGTCTTGAAATGAGACAAATGTTTTACTGTTGTTGCTAGAGCATCTCGATGCCAAAAGAGCTGGAGATCTTTCCACACTGTTTGATGTGGGTGGAATCTTTGGTAAGTGTAATATTTCATCCTTAATCAGACCAATTTAGGAAAATCTGTGGCACACAGCTTACATATATTAGCTGTGTGTTTTGTGTCCTCTGAAAAAGAGTGATAGAAAAGGTGCTTGCCTGAGAGCTGGATCGGACACTGCAAACCTAGTAAAACATATCTTAATTGAACAAAGCATAGAGCAAATGATGTCCAGTAGAGACTATAAGAGCCAAATGTTACAGAATCTTTTAGCTCCATCAGTCCCGGAAACGGGTCTCTGTCACTTCAACTGTCAAAATATATTCCTTTTTTCACCTAGCATAGGAGAACTAATGCGGTTTTACAGCTGTATATTTTCTGTAGGCGTACAGGTGAACGGCCACAATTTTTCTCTTGGTGTCTAATGTCATTGTATGTGATAAAACCAGGAGATTATAGTAATAATAATATTCCTTTGTATTTTATGAGGTAACAATCGACTAATTAAATTTAATCCTAGTGTAGAAACAGTACAGCTCGCAATAGCACAAATGTCGTCTTGATGTCCACTTGCTTCACACACACGCGAGCCCCCATTCCTTTATGGAAAGCCATATGTCATCTGTGGGAAAATGGAGCTCACAGTGGGAGAAGTTTGCCAGGATCAAGAGCTGTGTGGTCCCTAGTGGTTCAAGATGCAAGTGGCAAGGTGTGCTGCAGCTGTTGCTCCAGTCTTGTGCTGGATGTCCATCCTACTGTTCCTTGCTGCTCAGCTGGGCAACTGAGGTGGGTTCCCACGCGGCTGGAAGCCAGAGTTTGTAGTACCTTAGAGATTTGAGTGACTTTGTTTCAGCAGTCTCAAGGCGCATTGCACTCCACTATATATCCAAGCTTGACTAGGTGTCAGGTGCTACTTGGTCATTTAGAGTTTAAATATAAATTCAAATGAGATGTGGTCACTTTGGAGTTGAGCAACTGGTAAGGGAGAGGAAGGCTCAGCAGTATGTACAGTCTGGGAATCCAGAGACCTTTCCTTCTCCCTCTTCCAAGTTGCCTGTATATCATTTTGGCAGCTCCTTCCTCCAGGCCTTCCAGCGTGCTCCAGCCATGTGCAGCTGCAGTGCTCCAATTACTGCTCCTGTTTGTAGTCATTGGCAAGCACAAGAAGCAGGGGGTCTTAAACAGCCTGGGGTGGCTACCTGGAGAGAAGAAAAACGTGTTTTGTTTGCCCCAAGAGCTAAAATAGCTTGTTTCCCCTGGCTGTGATGTGACGTGGACGTAATACAGCATTTGACACGTTGGAGCCGAGCTTATTTTTCAACGTGAGGAGTTAAGGAACTGGATTTATTGGATCCTTATCAGATTAGTTGGACATAGCTAGATTCCAGAATGGAGCCACGTAGTACCTGGTGCAAAGGCGTTCCGCATTCAAAAGCTGCGAAACAGTGGTTTCTAAATATTTCTTCTCTTTCTTCGTCCCTGTTCCGACATCATCCTGGCTATTCAATTGACCTTGGAGTAAACAATGAGGAAAAACTGTTTGCAGTAGTTATCTTCTACATCAGACCTGGCTGGGTTAATAAGGATACTACTAAATATGAATTGTGTTGTCAGTCCCCTGCCCTGTGCTGCTGTGTATAACCTCACATTAAAAACTGTACTGTATTGTTGTAATATGGGTTGGGGTTCATTAAGTATATCTGATATTTAGTGTATTAAACATGCACAAAGAGTTTTCCTCACATATCTATCTCTTCTTTCAGGTGGGATTTTGGCAGGCCTGATTTCGGATCGGCTAGAGAAGAGGGCATCGACCTGCGGAATGATGTTATTGCTGGCAGCACCCACAGTAAGAGTTTGTCCCTGCATTACGTGCATGGATGAGACTTTGTCAACATTTTCCATAGCATGTTCTGAAAATAGGATCTTCTAATTTGGATGTAAAAATTCAGGCCAGATTAAAAACTGGCATGAAAAATTGAGCATGTGAGCAACTGTAGAGATTTGAGCTGGCTTTACTAAACAGACAAATCCAATGCATTGCGTGTTACAGGATTCTATAGAAAATCTATTACTCTTTTGTAAAATGTGCTGTCCAGCTTTTAGCCAGAGTTTTAGCTGCTCAAAGGGTAAAATTACTATGCTGTGTTACTGCTGGAAAATTGACAGCTGCATATATGAGGTGCGTTTTTCTTTAGGAGTTTTGATGCTGTTATGAGCAATATTCTGTGCTGTGTTGGTGCTGGCAGTTTGAGAGTTCAAAATTGAATGGTCTCATCGTGTAGCCCTTTCTTCGGAGAGGACGTATTGGGGAATAGGAGCATACCCTTAATCTCCCTCTCTAATCCTATCAAACAACCATCATGCTGAGGCCTAACAGGGTTTTGTAAAACCTAGGAAACCAGAGGTACTTTTTACATAATACCAGCTAAGATATTTTTTAGTTAACATGAAGAAAATGGGGTTCCGTAGCCTTAATCCCTATGTAGTATTCTAGCATGACTGCTTTTTCCATCTTTACCACAGTTGTACATGTTCTCTGCAGTCAGTAAAATGGGCCTTGAGGCTACTATTGGTGAGTGTTTTAACTCATTTTCTGCCTAGCTTTATGTGAACTTTACATTCATGGTTCTTTGCTTTTTTTTCCTTCTTTTTTCTTTTTCTGAGCAGAGAAAGCATGGAATCAAATTCCCTTGTTTGTTTGTTTGTTTGTTTTTTTGTCTTGTGGGCTTTTTTAGGGGAGGGAGGTTGAGGAGAGGGGCTAGGAAATAAGTAAGGGGCAGCGTGAGAAAAGTGATTTAGTTAGTACCTTTTGTCCTCTTTCTGGAGCTTGTTATATCAGCATAGCCTGTGCTGTATTCCCTATGCCAAATGTCAGCAGTGTTTAAAAACGACTTTTTGAAAGCAACTTTGACTTTACTTATGTAGGCGGAATTCACTTGGGCCTGTCTATCTGTTACCTCAAAACAGGAGTTGAAACACAAGGGCGGACAGTAGTTTCTCACCTACCTAAAGGCCCTTGAGCCCTCTGTTGCTTGGTGCTGCACAAGCCAAGGAAGGACTTATGTTTGGCTTCCTGTGAGCTTGCCCTATTCTTATGGGCCAGTTTAGTTAGGCTCTTTCTGGACCACCACCACGATCAATAAGAGTTTTGGGAATTGCCTTTTTACTCAGCCCTATCTCCTAATATATTTAGGAAGTCCCCTCATAGAATAAGCATTGCAGGAATGTATGTAGCTTTTCCTCCTTTCCCAATTCTGGAACGCGGTCAGGGGAGGCAGGGAAGGATCTAAACCATTTGAGAAGGTCAGGCTACACCGTATCCTGTTACAGTTAGTATCCATTCCAGGCAACTCATGTTTCCTATTCTTTGTCCAACTTGCAACAGTGATGCTGCTGATCAGTGGTGCCCTGGTGAACGGCCCTTACGCACTGATCACCACTGCTGTCTCTGCTGACTTGGTGAGTCTGGCTTCCCCTCTGCTTCCAACGTAGCAAGTTTGGCCTCTGCAGAGAGCCCTCTGACTTCTTCAGAGTGGTCAGCGAAGGGCTTGCATTGTCCCATTGTCCCAAATAGACAAGGAGTTGGATAGGCAGAACGTTGCAGGCTGAGGCAACTGAGATTGTTTTAGAGTTTGTGTGTTAGTATGAGTTAGTCTCATGCAGTTTTCTGAGCTATTCAGTTTTTTTGTTTTTCTGTCCAGCTGCTAAGTTATTCTTTTTACCACTTGTTTTGTTCTGAAGACTTATCTTTTCCAATTGCAAATGAAAAGTTTCTTTTGGCTCAAGAATTCTCTCAATGAACATTTCAGTTTATACCCATAGCTCTGGTATTCCAATATTCCTGTTATGGTAGTGATCTTTTCCTGTTCTACAGAGCTTTGCATTATCAGCAAGGGAAATGATGGCCATGGATATGACCTTGTAGCACATTGCAAAGCTGAAGTGCTGTCCTTGCTGCTTGGATCCACAATGTGCAGACCAGAAAGTCAGTTTTTAGTTTTTGTTCTTTAAATAATGTGATTTAATAAAGGAGAATGTTGTAGGCAATAGGTTGATGGAGTGGAGGGCTTCTTTAAGTAGTAGATTAAAGGGTCTGAGCTTGGACATTTAAGACAACTTCACAATATGCATCTAATGTAGAGGGGTGTGAAATAGGTGCTGTTGTAGGGACTTAGTTTCTAAGTTCAGCTCAAAATGGTCCTAAGCAGTCTTTGTCACTTCAGGGTACCCATAAAAGCCTGAAAGGAAATGCAAGAGCACTGTCCACTGTGACTGCAATCATCGATGGAACAGGATCTGTAGGTAAGTCAGAGCTCTGAGGTAGCTAGCCACTGTAGGTTAAACCAAAGGATCTTTGTGAAACCGCGTTCTCTCCATTTCCCATTTTGCGAGGATTCAATACAGTTTTGGAAGTGGGGAATAGACCTAGCCTAGCCTTAAGTCTCCGTAGTGGTCCCAAATCTGGCGGGGGAGGCAAGAGGGTGGTAGACTGATACTAGAGCACAAGTGGCAAAAGTAGATGCCATGGGCCTGTTTCTGAGGTCAAGGATATTTTAGTCATGCCTTTTGCACTGGCATGTGGAAGGGAATTCAGTAGGATTCATTCTGATGCTGGATGGGAATTTTTTGAGCCAAAGGGTGATATTTCTCGTACTTCTAGTGTTCCAGCTTCCCCATGTTAGGTTCCCCTTTGGCTTGCAGCTGTACCGGTAAAGTCTTCTGTTTCCTGGGTCCTTTTAATACATACGGTAATACTGAATTAACTAGATGGAGAAATTGATACTAACTCAAAAAACTGTCTTTTCGCATAGTAAATCTTACGTTGCATCGTTCTGACATGCAATATCAATGTTCTGTTTTAGGTGCGGCTTTGGGGCCTCTCTTAGCTGGTCTCATCTCCCCATCTGGTTGGAACAATGTGTTTTACATGCTTATGGTGGCAGATGCATGTGCCTTGCTAGTAAGTCTAAAAATAGTATTTAGTTGTTGCAATGTATTTCCTTTACGCCAAGCTATTTATATTGAAACGCAGATTTTCTTTTTGCAATTTCAATACTGTCTCGTAAGAAACTTCCATTCCAATTGTTACAGGCAGTTTTTAATTCAAGAGCAAAGTTGCTTGTTTTGAAATTCTCGTCTAATGAAAAGGGCAGATTAGTTCACATGTACTCCAGTTTCTGTGCAGGGCACATAAGTAAATTGCTGACTGAGCAGATCAGCAGGCATAATTGTAAATAAACCTTCCCATATAGACCTTGAAGATGGTTCAGATTCTGCTCACAGAAAAATTATTTCTGTTTTCTTTAAAGCCAGTTTACTGAAGCAGTAACAAACATTTGCTATGTTGCTGCATTAACAAAAACACTGTGATAATGATGCTGTTGAAAGTTAATACACTACATTCTCCAGATGGGCCCTAAAACTGCTGCGCTAGGTTAGACCAAAGATTGGCGTGCTAACTTTTGACAGTGACCAAGAGCAGATGCTTAGGGAAGGAGTGTGACGCACATATGGTGACTTAGTACAGAGTACATTTATTTCCTTTTTTTCTCCTGTTTAAGATGCAAGTATGATGGATAGATGATCTGAAAGGAGTTTTTCTTCTGACTTGCCCTGCTTTGCTTTAGAGAGCAAAGAAGACACAAGATAAGCCAAGGAGAGTCTTGCTGTACCTTCAAAGTCAGTCTTGCTGCACACTTAAATAGTAGAACCTGCAGGGTGGGTTTTTATGTTTGCCAGGGATTTTTTGGCAAGCATCTGCCACATCTTTGTGTGTTTTCTCTTCCAGCAGAGCAGAATACTGCTATGACTACCTCAGGTCTCCTGAAGTGTCATTTATTTATCCTCTCCCTTTGAAGTTCTGGATAGAAGCACTCATAAAAGGGCAGAGTGACTGTGAGAAACTTGATAAATACTCCTTCCTCTGTACTGGCCATGCCTAGACCAAATGCCATGCCAGCACAGTGTTCTGCTGAGCTGCACGTTTCTTGAGGAGGTGCTAATGCAGAGCGTGTCAGACCATGTTTTCCTAACACGAGAAAAGGAGGAAGTTTGCTTTGAGTTTGGATTGAGGCTTTTGTTTTTTGGGTTTTTTTTTTTTCAGTTTAAGCTTAAGCCAAGCCCAGAATTTTAAACCAAATTATTTTCCACATTTAAGATATGAACTCTCTGGAAATTAATTAAATTAGACAATAGTTGAAAGGTGTTCCTAGTGACAGTCAACAGCTTTATAAATCCTGATTTGTACTGTTTTCAGTTTTGCATTCCCATTTAAGATATTCCATGCTCTAGAATGGGAGTTTGGGAGATAGTTGTAGTTTTCCTAAGTAGGCTTAAAGCTCTGCTTTTTTCTTTTATAGATATTTATTAAAGGTAAACCAAAAAATCCCTGATTTCTCTGCAGCTTTACAAAGGCATTTTAACAGATGCTTTTTGCTTCTGAGAGGGTTAACTCTATGTTGTTGAGATAAATCCTGCTTTTTGTAATTCTTGTTCTGCTTTTCCTGTTCTTTGCAGTAGGACAAATAGATGATTTTGGCTGCTATTTCTTCAAAGATATCTGGAGTTACACCTAACATTTCAGAGGTGTACGATATCTTACATGGATATCGTACACCTCTGAAATGTTAGGTGTAACTTCTTAAAACACTAAAACTTAAGATACTGAGGAAACTTCCATTTATAACAGTGAGATTCCTCCATATCCATATCCTCCATATCTGAGGACAAGGAAGCTTATAACTGAGGAACCCTGAAGTTCTGTCTTTAATGTATGTGGGAATCCTCAAATTTTGGGTTTGAAAGTCCTGATTCTATATGAGCAAATAAACATGAGTGACTTAACTCAGACTAATTGTGTGATTAAAGCTTTTCACACACACAACTGTTTTTCAGAATAGCAGCTAAAATGCAAGTTTTGGTGCATGGAGGTATCTGCCATGTTTTCTGTGAAGTCTTGGGTTCCCTCTGCTGGTTTCTTTGCAGCTCTGCTGGTAAAGTAACTTTGGAAAGTCACAGGTTTTGACATGCAAATGTGAAAATAAATTATTTGTCTCTTGGCTGTTCGTGTTGCAGACTCCTCTTCCAAACTTTTTTTTTTTTAATTGGGTTGAACATTAAAGGGTAATGTTTCAAATGAAGAAGTCTTTGACTGACAGTGGGCATCTTATCTTAGCCTACTGGCATATCTCTGTAGGTATTAACACAGATACTGTTACTATTTTTACAGTTCTTACTACGTCTTATACAGAAGGAACTCCGGTGTAATGCAGACTATACCCTGTAAGTATTATGCGTGGCTATTTCTATATAAAAACAGTTGAAAAACACATTACTGCTCCATAGCCCCACAATATATAGAAGTAGACAGAATATGTTAAGGTTTCTGTGTATACATTTCTCTCTCTCTGCTTTATTCCTGCTTCAAAAGAGTAACCCCATTTTGATATTTTACATCATAAGATGCTTTAAAGAAAAATTATTATTTTAAAAACCGATTTCTCTGTCATAGTCTCTTGGTTTTGCTTTGCTTTCTTTCCTGCATATGTGATCTTTCTTGCTTTCATCACAGAGCATACAGGTGGGGAAAAGGAAGCTTTTGGATTGCTTGATTTATATTTTTAATGGTTTCAAATGTATTTTTTTGCAAAAGATATCCTTAAAGGAAAGGGTGACTCTAAATTTATGATGGTTTGAATTGAGAAAAATTTCATTGAATCAAGGGGGTTACACTGGCCTAAGCAAAATATAAATTGGGCCCCTTTCACTGTAGTTTTGGAGAAATAAAATGGATAGAAAATAGAAAAATACCTAGCAAGGAATGGCTGCTGCATTTTGAAATTGGTGGCTGTTATGTCTCATGCAGAAAAATTTCCTGCCTGATTACTGTTCTTTCTCAGGTTTAAAGAACACTGAGCTAGGAGACCAGACTTGGAAAAAAGACTGTGTAAGTGATCAGAGCTCTTCCCTGGAAAGAGCTTTGTGGAATGCTTAAGAGATTCTACTTGCTGAAGAATTTTGCACATTTACCAGAAGCAATTTGAGGAATGCAACTGGTAAATCCCTGAAGCTCTTGTTTTGCACGTGAATAAGTACCTCAGGATGGCAACTATTCATCAGATGGAGAGACAGCAACTTTGGGAAGCCGCTAGCAGAGCGCCTCACCTGAGCCAAAGAGAAATACCAAGTGCCTTTTGTTTCTTTTGATAGGATGTTTTTAATTAGAATCTTAAACTTTGTATTTTCAAAAAACAAGTCAAAAATAGAGCACAGGGAAGTTGAAATTGTAACGGTCTGGCAGTGGAATGTCCCAGTGATATTAGCAAATGTCGATAAGCAAAGTATGCCTTATATCACCTTGTGCACATCGAGGGCATCACTTCATAGAGGACGATACCAGCTGGCTATTAAGATGCACCACTATTTAGTATTTTGAAGCTGCTCAGACAATGATAACCTGACCGTATCATTAGATATTAACTACAGCACTAATTCTAATCCTAAGGGGATTAGAATTGTAGGTAATGAAATGGAATTTACAGTTGCAGAGTACTGCAGTATGCAGTTTTTACAGACTTTCTGAATGGATGTTAGTCCTCAGTTAGGATTGTGCAAAAAAAAAAAAAAAAAAAATCCTAAGCCTCAAAAAAGCTGGTTGTGAGTCAGAATTTCCAGGAGGGACTCTAATGATTTTCAGGGCATTATAAACTGGTTGTGCAAAAGTGACATAATTGTTGTGCTACTCTCCTAGGTCAGGTTGAAATGAGAGGGTGTTCCTCTGGGATGGGAGAGAACTGCAAGCTGTCACACTTCATTACTGCAGGATTAGAAGGATTAGCTGTTTTGGTGCCCAGTGCCACAGTGATCTCCATTGGGCACCCCTTGATTTCTGTGGTGTTGTGGGCATATGGAAGTCATTTTCAGATCAGGGCCTTAATAACCAGAAATCTCTTTCAAGTGGCTAATTTCAAGTGGCTCTGAATTTCGGGTACAGAGCAAAAATATATATATATGACAAAAAAAAGTCCTAGGTAGTAGATTGTAAGAGAACATTTCAGTAACTAATGTTACCCAGCAAATAGGAAGGTTAATGTCTTCAAAACATATCATTTCTTCATACAGCTATCTTCTTTGCAAAGAACAGATGTTTCTGTGATTTTTTTTAAGATGTACAAAGTAAAAATGATTTTTTAATGAGCTGTTTATACTTAGATTACAAAGGTTAAATAATTTAAACTGTGTATTATTTTTAACTGTATTTATTAAAGCTGTAGGCACATGTCTTGTTCTAAACTATGTTGTAAGTTTTGTGAAACAATGCTGTAGCCTTTATACTTGATTAACAAAAACAGCATTCTCTAAAGTAGTCCTGCCACACACGTGGAGGAACGTCTCATGAGCTGCTGGTGTTAGATGCCATGTCTTGGCACAATAGTGAATTTCCTGGACTGTTTTGTAATTTTGTAGTCTTTGAGCAGTTACTTCACTGGTTTGGTTCAGCATGTGCTTTATGCTTGACTGGAACAATAGGTGTTCATTGTTCTGTGTTTTGCTGCACAGTGATACAGGGAATACCTTCAGCCACGCAAAGACTTAAGGCATGTACCAAAGTCCTCACAAATGAGTGCTCTACATAAGCTCTGAACCTGCAGTTACTTAGATGAACAGTTCACTTCACACTGTACGAGTAAACCTGTTGAGATCAGTGGGAATACTTGACATGCAAAAAGTGACTTGCATTCATAATTTTATTCTGCGTTTGGACTTTGGGCTGTAATTTAATGCAACAGAGTTCTGCAGCAGTATTGCTTGAAGGCATTTCTGTCCCAGTGCCATGGCACAGCACCCCTCCGTTGGCCAGTCTGACTGTCGGTGGGACCATTTACTCGATCAGGGGGCTAGTCTAGCCCATGATGGGGAAAAATAACACTGCAGTCCCAAAGCAGCTATGCTGGCACAACGCCAAGGGCTGTGTGAAGAGGGAGGGAGGGAGAGATGGAGGACGACTTTAGCTGAAGATGCCAATCCCTCTTCCCCCAAAAAAGGTATATAGAATTATACACTCACTTATCAAAACAATGAGTGTTCTTAAACTCAACTTTGTTGAGATTTTGTGAGTCTGTTCCCCATGGGCTGAAGTCTTAGGTTAAAATGCTTTTAGTTATATTTAACAGTTTTGTGTTGTCGAGATGTTTAATTGTTTTACGTGTTTTAGTTGTTGGGGCTGATGCTGTTTATTTATTTATTTATTTGAAAAGCTTTTGCACCGCATTGACTCAGATATGGGATGATGGTGATGTCAGAGGTGCTCGGCTGAGTCTTCCTTCCACTGATTGCAAGAAGAAATTAGGAGTCTTAGCATGCCAGTTTCTCCTTCCTTGCTAATATGCAGCATTTTGGTTCCTTCCAGTTGCAGATTTTTGGACAAAAAATATAAAGATTGCTTTTCTGTCATAACAACCTGAAAGATCTCCCAAGTTCTGAACAATCTGTATGTTTTGCTAGAATTGGGTGTCAATATTCATTAGTCCGGAAATGAACAAGACTGACAAAACTCTGTATATAGAAATGTGAGTGGCCAGTAGGTAGCGCTGAATCTAAATATGACTGCAGGTTTGTTAGTTTTTAATGCTGGTTATTGTGAATTTTATCTGTTTCCCTCCCGTGTTGAATAAAAATTATTCTACTTTAAAATTAGAAATATTGATTACTTCATCTTTTGCATCTCCATGAAGAACTGTATCATTTCTTGTTTGTGAAGGATAGACATATCCACAGGGGCAGGGCTCATATCCCTTGTAAGAGTAATTGAAAAGTTTATTTTAGGAGAACAAATTGAGAGTCTTTTATTTTGAAAAACAAAGCCCTTCTCAACTGAACGTGTAATTTTTTTGTTCCATGATCTTGAGGGTTGTATAACATCATTGTTCTCAATCAGTTACTTCAGATGAGGATGTTCTGCCTCCTTATTTTGGTTGAGTAGGAAGGAGGACACTCAGGAAAGTCAGAGGTGAGTCTAGCTTCTGCAGCTTAGCTTTAGAGGTGGTCTTTCTGTTTTCTGCTTTGCTTTCCTCTTCAATTTATATGGAATTTAAACTGAAAAGCTTCATCTTTTCTCTCTACCTCAAATCATTTTGAGCATTTATGACCTTGATTCCTCCATGTTTAATGTGGTTTGTGTGACTCTACCAGAGATATAGTGGAGTCCAAAACCACAGATGCACTAGGAAGAGGAGAAACTACTTGGAAGGAAAAAAAAAAATCTGGTTAGAAGAAGATATTTGGGTGCCTCTGGCAGGATTTCTGATCAACATGCGTGCCCTGGCTGTTGCGAGGCACATTGCAGAGGAGGCTTATCTCTGCTGTGTGTAGCCGAGGTCTGTGGAGTAGGAAAAGAAGAGGACAACTAGGTATCCAAGAAGGTGTTGTCATATTTGTCAGTTTGAGACTTCCTTTGCGGTTAGGTTAAACTGCTCATGTGCTCTGTGCACGGAGAGACACCTTCTCCTGCATTTTTATCGGTTAAGAAATTCCAGGAGGGATTCTGCCATCCACTTCTGAAGACGTGCATGTGCTGTGCTTTTCTTGCATAAAGTCATGAGGATGATAATGGCAATCTTTCATTTACGTTTATGCCAATATTGCACTATCTGGCTGACTATTGAACTTCTGGCTGGCTTAAGTGTTTAGACTGGAGAATCTATTTGATTGCTGCTAATAGATTTCTCTAAGGGGTTGATATGTGGAGTTGCTTATATGAGACGTCCTGCTCAAAATTAGATGAACATAATATGCTGTAAAAGAAATTGGAGGCTGATTGCTCTTCATATGGAATTAATTTGAGAAAGATTAGTTTTAATCAGATCTAGTTACTAAGCCCAGAAAGGGTACCAGTGAAATTCTCTGGTCTGAATTAAGTTTTATGGTCTGTGTATTATATAGGAGACTAGATTAGATTATTTAATTTCTCCAAGCCTTAAAGTTTATCTACTATGTTGTTCTTATTGCTGAACTTTGTCACTTTGACCTTAGAGCAAATCTATTTTGATGTTCTCTTTGCTAAACTAGAAATGAAATAATATGAGTTCTTCCTCCTGTCCCCTTGCTAATTATGCCGACTGTCATGTCTATGCAATGACTGTAGGCACAGTGCTCCATTAATTGCATTGGGAATTTTGCATCTTAAATGCTCTGGGGCTTTGGTAACCTTGTGCTATGTTTTCTGCCACACTGAGTTAGAAATCTGTCTGTTATCCTAAAAGCTGGGAAGGAGCTGGTTTAACTACTGTTACACTTCAGCTTCTTGTCCAGTAATTTTGTTACGTGTCTTGCGTCTTCAGAGTTTAATTAAATTGTTTGCTGTAAAATGAGATGTTCTTCACCTCTTCATTTCCCTTCTTATGGTTGGTTTCCAATTTGGAATAAGGAGAAAATTACTTAACATCACCAGCTAATGTTTTTTTCTTTTCTTTCCCTCTTTCTGCTGACATAGTTTACCCAGTTATCCTTCTGCTGCAGCAAAACTTCCACATCTCTGTGAACTGTGAATACAAGAACCAAACTTTCTGTAGACATATTTTATGGAACTTGATCGTCTCCTGCATGGACATATAAGCTGTCAAAAATGTGTTAATAAAAGTCTCTCTTGATGCTGTACTTAACCAGAAAATTATTTTCTTTACCTCATGATTATTTTGGGAGTAGGATTTCTCTTCCTCCTGCTTTTATAAAAGCAGCTTACAAATATTTAGCTGTGTTTCCATAATGCTCCTTTTGGTCCAGAAGTTTCTTTCGGGCAGAGGAGGGCATTAAACTGGCTTTGCATATAATGACTTGTAAGTATAAGCACTGGGATGCTATTAAAAGGCTGATGCACTAGGTAAAGGTAACATGTTTGACCTAGATGGGATTACAAAAACACTTCTGTACTGGTGTTTGATTACAGTATTCACTTGAATCTTTTCATTCAATAATGGAAGACATTTAAGAACCATTTTCAGCAATGATTTACACTGCAGCTTCAGATTGTAAGGGACTCTGTTTCTGACTGTAAGTGGAAATACATATATTCTATGCCATGCAACAAGGATATGTACACACACATCTATACAAGATCCTTGTTTGTGGCCTTGTAATTATCCAGATGTCAATAAATACAAATGAGTCTAAAGTAACTTTTTTTCCTGAAGAGGTATATCTGCCTGTCATAGTGAGTTAAAAAAAAAAAAAAAGGCAAAGAAAAATAATGTACATGTTAGTATAAGTAGAGGCCACAGATGCTGAAAAAAGGGCAGTTGCTGGAAATTATTGAGGTATCGTTTCAAACGCTGAATATCTATTACCTGATAATAGTTGTTTCCTGTGCTTCTGTAAAGTTTAGGGGGGAAAAAACCCACGCTGCCTACATAGTGGGGTTTTTGTGAATGAAATTTCACTGTGATGACAGATAGAAGCACCTGACTGTTGGTCATTCTGCATCTCTAGGATCCACTGAGTGCCACTGCATTTGCAAACTGCATAGGCAAACTCAGGAACATGCAAAAGAGAGAGGAAGGAGCCTGTGACAACTGGAAGTGAGCAAGTTCCGGAGACTAAGCAGAAGGCTGCAGTCATGAGCTTGAAAGATTTCATCTGAAAAAGAGCCGGGTCCTTTGTGTATGAAAAACTAGTTACAGATTAAAAAAAGGAAAAGCAAAGACAGGCAGTTTGGTTTTGAAAATGAGATGAAAAGACAGAGGAAGGCATGAGATGATGACATAATTAAAATGTAAGCTGTAATCAAGATGCTATAGAAATGTAAACGTGGGAGCAGGTAGTGTTAAAATGCAGACTGCAAAGTGTAAAAGACTGAGTTGAGTGCCATCACCAGTGGGCAGTCTGCCAGCAGCATCCCCACGCAGCTCTTTTAAGCTGGGCTTGGTATTGGGAGCGTGGAGCCAGGAGGGGCGAGGGTGACATGGATGCACATGGAGCCCTTCAGCTCCTGGTTGCCCTCCCCTATATTATTTAGGCATAACCTGTAAGATAGGTAGACACTTGAATTTGAACCTTTTGATTTTTCAACTGCCAGAGAGTTCATTTGAAGTTTGAGATATTTTTGTTCACGTCTATATATTTTTTTTCTTTTTGTTTCCAGGAATGATGTGGTTCCTGGGCTTCTATGAAATGCCTGGGAGGGGTCAGGTAATTTCCTGTCCCAGAGCTATAGCGACCAAGGTGTCCAGCAAGTTAATGTGGAGCCACCTCAGGACTTCAGTAATTTTTAGTTTATTTTCACTTCTCATTATCAATGTGTTCTTTTGTCTATGTCATTGCAGGCTAGAGTAGGGTTAAGGGAGCAGCTAGTGGAGAAGCTAAATGTGGCTGAAACATTGAAAGTCCTTCTTGGGTAAGATGCAGGCTTGTCCCTATAGAATCCGATTCCAAGTCCTTTTCCTCATCTGCAGATTTTTATACTTATTTCAATCTAGGGTGGGTGCTAGAGTTAGTACTTCAAAACAAACAATGCAGAATCTGAATTACTTTGATATTTGCATGTATTTAATACTAACTGATTCTCCTGCTCTTATCACCTTTATAATGTGTTTTTAAAAATATAACAGTAAAAATTCAAAATAAAACCTATTTCTTATTATTCCTCACTCCAAGAGGTCACCTTCTTGTGTAAGCCCTACAGTGCATCTGTAGGGCTTTTCCCAATATTGCAGGATGCTGATTTCAGATTTGTTAGAAAATTGTCTTTTTGTGGCCTGCAAACTATGGCTGAGTGAATTTGTTTGTTTGTTTTACACAAGGACTTGCAGAGGGCAAAATCTTAGAGAGGTTATATTGCATAGATGAATTGTAGCACAGCTTAGGTAAGATAAGCTGGTTAACCTTATCTAACTGTTAGTACTTGGGCGATTGTACTCATAAGCAATAGCAAATATCTAATCAGAGTCTTTACTTCTAGGAACTATTTCTCCTTTCACTTACGTAGCTCAGGAGCCAGCATTTTGAGAACGCAAAGATTTTATTTAAGTCCTTAATTGCCATCTTAGGCACTGCAGTTCTTCAGTTTATCTGGTACCTAAATCCATAGCGGGTGCCCTAAATTTCTTAGGTTATTCAGAAGCCAGCAGCAGCTCATACTGATGTCAGAACTCAAAGAAGCCTGAATTCATATGCTAAATCAAGAGAGATACAAATGCATGTGTGTATATATGCGCACACACACAAACTTATATATGCACACACACACACACACACACACACACAAGTTATAGCACAAGTCAGGAACCAGTTAAAGGAGGACTGGATTTCACAGCCCAGTAGATATAGGTAGTCTAGCTCAAAAAAAATTAGAGGTAACAAAATGATCAATAACTTCTGAATTCTCACCTTTTCACTTTTATGACATAAAGGGTAGTTAATGTTGACAGCATGTAGTAGCTAAGTAATGTACAAGCAAAACTTTTGCAAGGACTGAATTTCTTCTGAATCCTGCCAAACACAATGATGTTATTTCTGCTGTGGAGGATGGAGTATTATATTCGAGTCCGAGTTATCCAGTTTCACTCTAGGCCATGTGAGACCTTAGCTTAATGAGTACAGCAGGCTCTAAATCTATTATTAAATCACTCTTATCATCTAGTAGGAAGCATGTGAAAACTTTGTTCTGTGTGACAGAATCTATGTGTTTGGTTCTATAGTGACATGTAGAACTAAAAATCATGTAACATAGGGATTCAGTTCAACCATCACTGTTAGAAGTCTTTATAGAAATCTTCATACCCCTTTTCTTCTTTCTGCAACCTTTCAGTTAGGTTAAAAGAATAAAACATGTTAACAAAGGAGAGAAGAGGCCACAGAAACGTATTGCAGGCACGTTCTCCATCCCAAAGAGGAGGCAGAACTCAAAGGATGTGCAGGCTCCTCTGTGCTGGGGTGACCATCCCCCTGTCAACACATGGCTACCTTCAACTCAGCACCAGTATGGAGCAGCTCTTTGCTTTCCTCTCAGCTATGTTAGGGGTTTGGAAGTAAGAAGGATTGCTTCCTTTCTTTGTACAGAGAAAAATGTATTGCCATAGCTGGCCTGAATGTCTAGTTGCAGAACAGTGTAGTTGCTTAAAGCAGGGAGAAAGAATTATTGATGCCTTTCAAGATCGATGCCAATCGATAGCAATGGAAGTGGAGAGGCATCTGTGCCCCTCCATCTTGAGAGGTATCGCTGTGGATACTCCTTCGATGGCTAATGAGAGGAAAACTGGCCCCACACCAAAAGCAAAAGATGTTGCTCCACATCAGCGGATGCCTATGGCATCCATATCGATAGGCAGCAAGAGTTATCAATGCCTATTTACACTGATGACTACCAATAGGGATGGAATCTAACAGGCACCCATACCCTTCCCTACTGAGAGGTGTCCATGTTGATACTCCTTCGACACCTACCAAAGGCAGAGGCGGCACCAGACCAAAACCTGAGATGTCTGTCAAGATCGACAGCCATTGATGCCATTTGAAAGGGACTGATTTTCGCAGGAATCAAAAGATAGCAATACCGATCGATTTCGATGCCTACGGAGAAGCACGAAAATCCACAGGCAAGGACGCCTGTTGAAAGAAAGAGCTATCGATGAATACTGAAAGCAACCGATATTTGGGGATGATGTTCCTTAGCAATACCTATCGAAAGCAATACTACTCAACGCCTCGCTGTTCTGAGTAAACAAAGTAAACAAAAACAACATTGGTGACACGAGAAAAGCAACACCCACCTGTTCTCACACGGTGTAGAGAACATGGCATATTCTCCTACACTTCCTCTCCCTCCTAACCCTAACCGTAACCTTAAGACGGAGCTCAGGCACAGTGTGAACTGAAGCCCACAAGCCATGTTCCTCTCCTGAACCACAAAGTCTTGCAGCAGCACTCTTGCCGCAGCACCGCATTTCCTTTGCCGTGCCCTTTGCAGCCCCACTCCACATTGCGCTCTACCCTTCCTCTCCCTCCTAACCCGAACCCTCAGGCTGAGCTCAGGCATGGCCCGAACTGCAGCCCGCAAGCCCTGTTCCTCTCCTGAACCACAGAGTGCTCCTGGCAGGGGTCTTGCGGCAGCCCTGCATTTCCTTTGCCATGCCCTTTGCAGCCCCACTCCACATTGTGCTTCCCCTCTTCCATCCCTCCTAACCCAAACCCTAACTCTTACTGTAACCTAAACTCTAACAACGGTTCCGCATGTCAATACCTAGCAAGAGGCATTGAAATCAACAGACAAGAATGCCTGTCGAGATCAAAAGCTCTCACTGCCTACCGATTGCACTCCATTTCTTTGAATGTTCTTCCCGAGAGTTCCCTTTGGAAAACAGTGCTCCTAAAGGCCCCCCCGCTCCAAAAGCGGTCAGTGTCAGTAGCCCTCGCGGCGTACCAACACCAACATCAGCTGCACACCAAGAACTGTACCTGTCTTTCCACATCAGCAGCTAGTGATGCCTATCACTAGGCATCTAGATCCATCATGATCAATAAGTATCCCGATCGATATCCATGCCTAACATTAAGGATGGATTCTGACAGGTTCCCATTCCCTTCCATAGCAAGAGGTATCCGTGTCGAGACTCCTTTGACGCCTACCAAGCACAAAAGCAACCCCAGACCAAACTCT